TTTAGGAGTAAATGTGTTGTTGTACGCTGATAGAAGTGAAGATGTATGGAAGAGAGAAATGTCCTTGGCTTCTGCAGCAGTGCCCGCCCAAGCACTTGCTGATCCTCAATAGCACTGCGTTGCCTGCGCTCATTTCTCACGAGCTTTTGGTTTCTTGGCAGCTGGATGTGGTGCTCCCCCAACGCTGCTGTTTGCCGAGCTAAGCAAGGAACACAAAAATCAGACAGAGTTTCCTGCTGGGACGACTGTGAAATACTCCTGTGGGGCAGGATATGCTAGACACCCACAAATACCACCAACAATTACATGTCTGGAAAACCAAACGTGGTCGGACCCCCAGGAGTTTTGCAAACGTATGTCTGGCAGATGCTGCTATTTTCTTCAATTGCGGTGTGGCCACCAAAGCCTGTAGCTCGGTGGATGCTTCTCTGTTTCTGTTCCCCTCGTGGTCGGGGTGGTAGAAGGACTCCTAGGACTAAAGTGCTGCTTTTCCTACTGCATTGACTGTAGGAAGTTCACAGCCAGCTCTTGTTTTGTCCCAGGGAAAAGGTGTGAGCATCCAGGAGAACCCGAACACGGCAGAGTTGTTGTTACAACGGACGTGCTGTTTGGGTCAACAGTGAATTACACCTGTGAGGAAGGGTGAGTCCCAGGCCAAGCACGCTTGGCTCACTGAGATGCAAGCAGCAATGTGTCTGTTCTCTCTCCAGCTCTTTGGCACAGCATGGTGTTAAACAAAAACCGGTGCCTGTGCTCCTGTGCTCAAAGTCCATCAGAGTGACCTGCTCAGTGTGATGCTTGAGGAGAATCTAGTCTTTGCAATGGTTGAATTCTGATCTGGTTTGTAGGCTGATTAACAACAGAAATGCGGAGCCCAGTGCTCAGGTTTAGGTTTTTAAGGGCCAATTATAGTGAATGACCCTCTAAATCTGATCTTGGAGGATATGATGGAAAAATGGGGGTTCGTTCTGAAAGACTGAGCTTAAAATGGATATCCGGGGATTTACTGCCTGCAGCCTTTGTTGGGAGAGCCCTAACGATGACAATATTTGATGGTGAGATGTGCAGGGCACGGGGGATGAGCTCCAAGGACAGTCCCTGTGCGCTAACAGGGACTTGGCCTCCCTGCAGGTTCCGGCTGGTTGGACACGCTCAGCGGCGCTGCGTGATTTCCGAGCCCGGGAAGCGAGTCGTGTGGAGCGGCGACGTCCCCGTCTGCCAGCGTAAGTACCTCCCGTGGGAGCTCGGCACGGAGAGCCGGGTTGGAGCGTTCCCTGGAAAGCACCTTCCACGGGACGGGCAGCG